AAAAAAAAAAATTAGGCTTGTAATGGATTTAAACCCATGATCTCTGTGATACCAGTGCAGTGTTCCACTAAATGAGTTAACAAGCCAACTGGTAGATGTTCATGTTGGCTTGTAATAAACCCATGAACACCACAAATACATTTAGTGAGATTGGAAATTGCTTATTTGAATTTTAAGTTAGTGATACATGTAATTACAAACTAATTGGGGGGAAAAAGCCACTTGCATGGTACATAAAATCAGGTCTCAGATGTATCAGACATTAATTAAGAGTGCTGCATTTCTGCTGGTGTAGTGGATGTAGTCAATGTTATTCTTACAAATTATTTTCGTTTGTGTGATTGCTGTACACTGATAATTATTGTTTGAAATCCAGGATTGTAAGGATTACTCTTTGTGACAAGGCAAATGACCTTTCTGAAGCAGAGTTTATTACACAAATGCAGGAGGTTACAAACAAAAGTAAGTTTTCAGGCTTTAATTTGTAACCAATTGTTTCATAAAACTGGAAAAAAGAAAAGTCCATTTAGTTATGGGTTTTATAAAAATTAAGGCATATGTTCTATGAATTACATGTAGCCTCCATATTTACCTATTAAATTGTTGTGTGACATTTTATTCATTTTGGTTTGATTGAGTAATCAAATTAAGAATTTGGGAACTGAATTTTGAGTGCAAATTGCTCATGAGGTTTTGCTGGGGTATCTGTTGATTCTCTCATGTAATATAAAATTGGCCATCATACCAGTAAGAAACCATGCTTTCATTAATGCAATGTATTTAAGTTCTTTAATTTATGATTTGAATGTAACTTGTGAACATGCATTTGGGAGTCCTTTTTCAATGGAGAGTCAGACAATTTGGGAATCCAATGGGACTTCTAGCCCAAATGAAACTGCATGTCATACCAGTCATGCACTATTTATTTCACAAATCTTTGGTGATACTTTATTGAGCCCTTGTTTTCAATGAAGGTTGCAATGATTTAGATATTAATGCTTCATCCTAACCCTTTATCAATCTTCAGATGATGGAGCTTACATGGCTCGGAGCCAAACCTTCTACCAGGCATTTGCTTCAGCCATGGAAGTATTGCAGCGCAAAGGTTAGACAATAATTTAAATTTAATTGAAATAAGGGAATCATGCATTTGAACTGTAGAATAAACTTAAGATAGAAAGATTCTTTTTCTAGTCAAGAGGAGAGAGATAGTCATGCATGCGGTACTTCTGTCAATAACTGGTTCTGTCCTCGTGTACCAGTTCACAAGAGCCGATACAAAAGACCAAACAATACACAATAGCTAACCGATGACTCCAAAACAAAGAAAGAACAATGGTAATTCCCTTGTGAACCGGTACACCATGACAGAACCCAATAACTCTGTCAAGTTCTGTCCGACTGGTGTTCATATTATCAGCTCCATTTCTTAATTTGGATTACAATGGACAATTAAGGCAGCATTGTTTTACTACCCTCTGTTTACTATCACATACTCTTTAAGGCACTTTCGGTTTTTAGCACTAAGTTTTGCAATTTTTGTGATATTCAGTGACTTACTGTCAAGGAACAATCGTTTGATAGTCAGTCGTTAACACAAGGAGAGATTCAAAGTACGTCAACTTGTTTTCCCCTTTTGTCTTCAGAGCATGTTCCATTTAAAGAGTTCTTGGTTTATCCAGAATCAAACTACATGGAGCCACCTGAATACTTAACCGACATAAAAAGTCCTCCAAATTGGGAAATAATCTTTCATAAGGAGTCGCTGAGTTGTCAGGAAGAAGAGTCTTCTTACTCACCTCTGAAAGATCTCGAGAGAATGCGGATGAATAGCAACTTCAAACCCAAACTTGATCCAACACAGCTTGCAGCAGTGGAGCTGGCACTAAAAAACAAGCTTGTGCTGATTCAGGTAATGCTTTAACTTGTATTGGCCCAAATATTCAAATGTAAGTATTTGGTCATATCCAACATTCTTGCTATTCCTTTTTTCACAGGGTCCTCCAGGAACTGGAAAGTCGTTTGTGGGTGTGCGCCTAGTGCGTCTTCTTTTGTCCATGAAGGTGCCACAAAGCCATGGACCTATTCTGGTAAGATAACACACTTTCCAGAACTCTTTATGTCATCAGTGCATGATTTAGTACATGTAGTCTGCGTAACAAACTTTTTTTTGTGCAGAACAAACTTGCTGGAAAGTAGGTTACTTGCCCCTGCAGAATAAAAAAACTGAGTTGGTGAGGATTCAAATTTATTTGGTTAAATCAACTAAGTTGAAATTGAACAACAACAAACATATGAAACATATGAGTGAACTGCGGTTATGAGACGTATATAAGAACGATCCTTCGCAGTAAAGCACTATTTGAGCAATAGTGGAAATCAGACCTGAAAAAAAAAAAAAAAAAAATTTCAGGCCTGTACGGGACAGGCCTGAAATTTTTTTCAGGTCTGATTTCCACTATTGCTCAAATAGTGCTTTACTGCGAAGGATCGTTCTTATATACGTCTCATAACCGCAGTTCACTCATATGTTTCATATGTTTGTTGTTGTTCGATTTATCATCTACGGGTTTATATCGAATTAATTTGATGGCCTGCTCCCAGTTGGCTTGTTAGCTCAATTGGTAGAGCGCTGCACTAGTATCGCAGAGGTCAGTGGTTCGAATCCCGTACAGGCCTGAAATTTTTTTCAGGTCTGATTTCCACTATTGCTCAAATAGTGCTTTACTGCGAAGGATCGTTCTTATATACGTAAGTTGAAATTGTAAATTGGCCACCGTTAAGAGTTAAAAAGCTGACGTTTCGAGCGTTAGCCCATCGCCATTCGCTCTGACGAAAGGCTAACGCTCGAAACAGTTTTTTAACTCTTTACGGTGGCCAATTTACAATTTCAACTTAGTTGATATAACCAAATTACCTTGTTACCCCCACCGACGCAGCACCACAGTTTCTCTAGAAACTCAGTACCCCTCTTATTCATTTATTTTTTGATAACCTTGTACACAGGTCGTGACCTATAAGAATCACGCCTTGGACAATTTCTTGGAAGCTCTTGCTAAAGATTCATGCCCTGATGAAAAGATTGTTCGTGTTGGAAACTTACCTGATGATGCTGACGAGAAATTGAAGAAACTCTTGCTAAGAGAGGTTTGTTTGTAAATCAACAGTGATTTTCTACTTAGTAACAAAGGAAACGAGGTAGATGATCGCAGGAAATTAAACACTTGCCTGAACCGATCAGTCTTAATCAAGTATTTTCACGTAATTTTCAGTTTGGAAACTTGGCTTCACTAATTTGCTAAGTTTGGGGTGCGTCTTATAACCGAGTGCGCCTTGAAACCGAGAAACTACGGTACGTTTGATCAGCTACAAGAGTGGGAAAACGAAATTGATTCGAGCTGCGTCAGGGTAGTTTTGCGGCATCTGATTGATTGTACACCTTTCGATGGAACGTCCACATGTTCTCGTATATCTAGAGTACACTTTCGGATAAAGTTCCAATGACGCACCGACAAAAGTCCATACGCGGGGACGCGGCGCGAGTTCGGAATATTTGCGTCAATTCCCTAGCAGCTTTGGAATAATGACACACCGCCGCAACGGTTTATTTATTTATTTGTTTATTTGTTTGTTTGTTTAGGTTGGGCGAAATTGGCCTCAGGGACTGTTCGATCGAAAAAGAACCTTGACAGGAAAACTTTGGGCTTTGCAGCCTAGTGTTAGAAGTGCTTACCAGAAGTTAGCGTTTTCCAGTATTTTCAATGCAGAGATGTTTTTGGAAGTATGTAACCACATGTCTTCATTTGGGTGATATTCGGATAATTTTAGTTTGAAAGTATTACATTCGCTCAGCTGAGTTACGGCATCATGCCATCCAGGTTCAGAACTTAGAGCGCTCAAGTTTTAAACCTGGCATGAAGTCAAAATGGCTGATTGCGAAAAGTTTAAAAAGGCTGCTGTTTAAAACCCGGCGTAAGCTTAAAGCTATATTGTTTTCGATATTTAGACACACTTGGTGTAATTCTTCAACACGATTCCTTCATTTGTAAATAAACAAACAACTTCCAGGTTGTCTTGCATCTGATCAGAAGAAGATCTCAACTGACGTCGAATGTTTTGAGAACAGAAAAGTAACATACTAGTCGCAGCCGAATATTTCTGATGTTCCTACCACATTTTGTTGTCTTCACCGATTTAATACCGGACGGACTCACGGTAAAATGGAACCTTTTTGTTTTATAAAGCAAATAAGCAACATGTTGTGAATGGTGACGTCATCTATGCGTTTGTCCTCCAATAGATTATTGGTTAGAACCAATCAAAAGGCTTGAATAGTTTGTCATCCAATCTGGTGTAAATTTGATTCCATTTTCTTTGCAAGGAAGCGTCGGCAGACCAGATTAGGTCCCTTCTTAAGGAGAACGAACGTGAGCCAGTTCATGGAAAAGAACTGGAAACGTTGTTGAAGAAGGTGATCAAAGACGGTGATCGAGTTGGTGTTAGGAACAATGCTCGACTTTTAGGTACGCTTCTATTAAATTTATTATTAGCCAAAAACATTAAAAGTAGTGTTTAAGTTATTAGCTTGTTCTGGGCTCCGTCTTTACAACGCGAGATTAATTTATCAAAAAATGTTATTCCCCCGACAATGCCTAACGTCCATACTTAACTGGAAAGCTTATGCTCAAGAAATGGAACTCTTCCAAAATGCTCCTCAACGTGGTTAACTTTATGCAAGATGCGAACAATGGGCGAAAATGTAAGTTGCTTCCGGTGAGCGTTAAGACACACGACCCGAATCTGGTGGGTAAACAGTTGAAGGGTCACTAAACGCAAATGGTTCCCAACCCTCGTTAGGTATTTTGAATTGGTCATCGTTTAACGTCGTCCAATCAGAAAAGGGCAATCAACGTGACGGTTTCTAGTTGGCACATGAGAATCTTGCTACGTGGTTAACTTTATACAAGTCACCAAAACGCAGGCTAGTGGAGGGAGTGGTTGCAACGTAATAGCGACAACGCTGCAGTAGATGTTTTATTAATTTTAAAGTTCTTTTTTTTTTTTCTTAAATGAAGAACTAGTGAAAAATGCATTACAGCGTTGGCTGCCTGAACAAGAAGAGTTCGATAAGTTTGTCAGTGACAAACAGGAGCCCAAAGCAAAGAGAAAGTAAGTGTATATTGTAGTCACAAAGTACTTTGGTTTACGTCCGTTCGCAGTAAGTTTTCTTTTTCTCTTGTAATTTCCGTGCTGTAGTGGATTGACAGAATCATACATTTCTGTTACGTTTATGATAATTTCTAATTATGTCGGACATGGAAAGGAAATTGGACGAGCACCGGCATGCTCAGACTGTCGGCCGATGTCTTGTTGAAACACACGCGAGACACGTTACGGTATCGTAGATGAACCCTTGTTGGCTTTGTGAAATTGCCTACCAAAAACAAATGTCTTTTTCATTTTTCCTCCCACTGTAGTGTAGCACCTGCCCTTGCTAAGCGAAAACGCAAAGAAGATCCTGAGCAGGAGAATCCAAGTGACACCAGAGATCCTTCAGTGGAGGAAAAGGAGCGTCTTCTTGCTTTGGATAAAGACATCTGCGATGAAGAAGACGAAAAAATCGCCCAAGATGTTGTCCATAAAGACCAGGACAAGAGAGATCCCTCTTGTGGAACAAAGGAGCGCAAGCTAGTTTGTGTCGATGAAACAAGTAAAGTGCTGTTGTCGTATTTTAGAACTCGGATGTTTAGAAGATGTTTTGTAACTTTGCGATTCTCTCTCCAACTTTCTTTTAGTAACTGTTGGAAGCAATACATAACTTATCGCTGATGGCGACATCTTTTTTTTACGCCTTTTTTTTTATGAAAGCTTTCGTTAAAGTCCTCGGTCGTTATATCAACGGAATGTCACGACCAAGACAGATTTGTTTAATACTATTTATAGGATCATTGATCTTCGATTATAGCTACTGACGCAAATAAACACGATGACTGACGAGGAAATAGACAGCGCTATCCAACCTTTTAATTAAACTGCGGCGGTGATTGCCTCACATTAACAACGCGAAGCATTTAGTAACCATACAAGTGAAGACACAATTTGCTCTTCTTTTTTTAGAGGTGATACCTCATAGAAAACTCTTAGATTCCGTCAAAGTGTGGGATCTAAAGAAAGAGGAAAGAGTTCAGCTTGTGTATGTTTTCCAACGCAACTTCTACAAGAAAGCTTGTGCTGATTTCCTTGAAAAGAGCAGCTGGTACACAGAGGTAAAAAGATGAGTTAATGACATTTATTATTTATCGCCAGTAAGGGAAGGGGGAGAGTTTGGATGTGTCACGATAAACTTTACCTGATCCCCCCTCCCCCCACAAGGCTCTGTTATATTTGTATGAATCCCCTCATTGGCAGTCACTTTTCTTTAGTACTCCTCCCCCTTTATACTCTGTTGGCAGCGACTGATCCCCACTGTATTTTCCCTGCTGAAGACCATATGATCCCCGAAATCCTTCGCCCCCTTCCTTCCCAAGGCGAGAAATGATGACTGACCCTTTAGCTGAGGCGGCCTGTAACGATAGTTGAATTGTAGTATGTTATGTGACCGTCATTGAGGACGTATGGGCGAAAAAACTCGTGCTTTGCGTACAGGATGCTAACAAAAAAGAGTATTCTTGTTCACAGATACATCAGCAGCTGAAAGAGCTGAGAAATCAACGTAACATTGAAGTTATGAAAAAATGTCACGTAATTGGAATGACAGTGACTGGAGCGACCATGAGGGCAAATTTGTTGGGTGAGAACTGTTGTTATTACATATTGATCATGAGAATTAATCTAGGATGTTGTGAGTCAAAGTGCGAATTGTAAAAGTCACTATCATTGAGCGTTGTGTACATGAAATTGTTCACTGGAAGTTGGCTAACCGTCTTAAACTAAACAAGGATAAGACTGAATTACTAGTGATCTCTGCTAAACATCTACCTATGCCAACTGTTCAAGAAATCTCTATCGTCAGTGAGACCATCTACCCCTCACAGAAAGCTAGAAATATTGATGTTACCTTTGACAATCATTTTCTTTTCAACGATCATGTTGCAAGTATCTGCAAATTATCTTTTTACCATATCCGTAATATCAACTATATAAGAAAGTACTTGTCATCAACCACCACTGAAATACTTGTTCATGCATTTGTATCTTCAAAATTGGATTATTGTAATTCATTACTCTATGGATTACCGGACTACCAAGTAAAAAAGTTACAGCACGTCCAGAACGCCGCTGCTCGTCTCATCTCTTTCTCGTCTCATCTCTTTCAAGAAAACATGATCACATTACGCCTATTCTAATAAATCTTCACTGGCTTCCGATACATTATCGTATTGTGTTTAAAATTCTACTCATCACGTACAAAGCTCTTAACAATCTTGCACCATCGTACTTTCGTCATCTACTCACACCTTACGTTCCAGCTCGTCAACTGCGTTCATCATCTAAGAATCTTCTTGTGATTCCTCATTTTAATTTGAAGACATACGGTGCAAGATCTTTTTTTGTAGCTGCCCCCACGCTCTGGAACACTTTGCCGTTCGATATCATGAACAGCTCCTCAGTGTCCGTTTTTAAAAACAAACTTAAAACTTTTCTTTTTAGAAAAGCATTTTTCTAATTTTACAATTGTGTCACTCTTGTTAAGCGCCTTTGAACTTTGAGGAAACTAGCGCTATATAAATACTTTATTATTATTTTTATTATTATTATCAGACAAAAGCCCCAAAAACAAAAGGAAAGAGCTGCAAAATGGTGAAACATGGTATAAACTTTCCTCCGCTGCGCAAAACCTTTCCATTTTAACGATTAGGTTTAACATGGCTTTTTGGAAGAGGGTTTAAGAAATGTTTTGTTACCCTTCTGAACTCACTAGGACCTGGAAAAGTAGACTAAAATCGGCTTCTAATGTTCGGGTCTCTTGCGTTTGTCTAGTAAGAGGAAAGGGGCGAATTAAATTCACGGTGTTTTTCCCTCGCATCACCGCTCGTATGCTTAGGTTCACTCGGAAAAAGTTGGATTCTAGTGTAATAGTGGAATGTTCGAGATTTGGAATTAATGCGATGCGTGGAGGTTGTATAAAAATTGTGGTTGGCAGCAGCTGTTCTGTAAACTCAGAACTCGGCTCCAAAATCCTTTCTTCTGAAATCCTACCAGACCTTGGAGGCAGCAATTAACTCGCCCCCCTTTTAGCTCATGACCAATTGACTAGTAAAATTAAGCGGGATTCTTTAAATTCAATAGACCGTAGATGTTTAAAATGAAAATTTACCACTGTAGGAACTGCAAAGTGCTGTGGTACGCGTTACTGCAACTCGACTCTGCAAGTATATGTCGCCAAAATCAATAACATTCTGGGCGATGGTTATTCTGCTTTTCATGGTCCTATGAAAAAACTGGTGGATCTGATTGGCACTTTTATGATCGCTTGCAGGTGCCTGATTGGTTCCTTTTTCCCCCCTTTTTTTTTGTCATGTATAAATTGTGATTGGATCTTTAATCGTGGTCAACAGCAAATCAGTGAAGTTTAATCTCTCGCCGATAGCAACATTTTCGGCCATAAACTCTAAATAGACTCCTTTGTAAATTTATTCCTCTTTCCTCCCTTTCCGCCTGTCAATCTTTCTGGCTGCCTGCGTTTCATTCATTCGTACATTGGTTCACTGTTTCGTTCATTCTTTCAATTTTTTTCTTTCTCCTGTTTCTTCTCTCCAACTTGCTTTCTTACTTTTCCTTCGTTGCCCGCTTACGGAAATATGGTCTATCTCGTAGCCGTTGTTATGGCTCGTCATGCTAAATTCTCTCCTAATACCTCCTCGCTCATGACCGGACTGTACATTAAAGTTGCACGGGCACTAACAGAACATTACCGAGGCCTTTTTTATCTAACATCTCTTCACTTACAATTTCATCGACAGCTGACATTAAACCGTCTGTCATGATAGTGGAGGAAGCTGCTGAGATCCTCGAAGCACAGCTTGTAGCTGTCATTCCACCGTCTGTACAACACCTCATTATGATCGGTGATCATGAACAACTAAAGCCAACGGTGCATTTCCACCGACTCAAAAAACATCATCACCTTGATCTCTCCCTTTTCGAGAGGCTTATCAACTGTAAGCTGCCATACATACAGCTTGGCTTTCAGTGCAGAATGAGAGATGACATTGTCGACTTGCTCCGAGAACTTAAGATTTATGACAATCTACAGACAAAACAAGAGGTAACGATCTGATTTGACCACTCCTGGTAATCTGGAACAGTTCGTGAATAGTCTCTTAGAAGGATCGACGGCATGATATTCTGTGGAATTATTTACTTCTGTCAACAGTACCTTCGTTTACTCCTTCAAATCCCTTATATGAGCAGCGCATAAGTGCCTGCACTCCTGTTACGTTAACCTTCAATCGGGTGATGAGGAAATACAAACTTGTGGGGAGGGTGTAATCTTATTATAACGCAGAATTATCTTAACTACTTAACAATGAAATATGAGGCCGGAGAGTTAAGGAGAGCGAGTGAGAGAGAGAGAGGGAGTATATTCCGCGATGCGTGCGTAAAGTCTCGCTCGGGTGTGTCAGTTACTCGCGCCGTCGCGCAGATCAAGGGGGTAGTCGAGCTAATTCTAAATCACCCAAAAGTCGCGAAACGTTTTAATTTGCTCTCTCCTCTTCTTTAATTCTTTGTCTTAGCTTGTACAAAGCAATGATTTACCACCCTGTGTCGCGTCCAGCATTTATTTCTGGACTCATACAGACTGGGAAGATGAATCGAAGAATTCCCACAGCAAGAGAAATATCACAGAGGCTAAAAAAATTACTGAAGTTGCCAGAACATTCCGTGAGAGGGAAGTCCCGCCATCAAAGATTACAGTTCTTTGTTCATATCGAGGACAGGCCAGTGAATAATTTTGTTTTTGTGTATTAATCATTTTCTTTTAATTTGTCTATTACGTTCCCATCAACCTTAGAGGCATGTGCGTCTTTTACGGAGGTGCTTTTTGAGATACGCTTCTTGCTAAAGAAGTATTCTCGGTGAACTCACCTAGATAGTTCCTCTAAAAGGTTTCTATTGAGGAGGCGAAAATTACTCAATTATTCCTCATGGTCGTGAAAATGCCCTTTGATTCTTTCAAAGTTAAACATGGACACAGTTTTTCCTACGATAAATTTTTCTGCCAAGGAGGAAGTGTTTGAATTGGACCTTTTTACTTCTTTAAGACACACGGTCTCCTGTTTTAGAGAAAAAAAAAATTACACGGAAAGCAGCAATACTCTACTGAAAGATTATCTTGTTGATGAGCTCTGTCTAGTAAAGAATTATCCCCACAGCAAGCACCACAAGCCGTCGTTTGGGACCATAGATATAAAAATTTGTAGCTGATTCGTTTCTCTTGACGCTTCAGGTCGACGAAGTAAAGAAGCATTTCAGAAAGGAAGATAAATTGTCAGATATCAAGGTCACCACAATCGATAGTTTTCAGGTGAGCAAGTGGATATGTCCGTTTAAAACTTAGTGATCTTGAAAAGTTAGAAAACAAGGTCAAGTATCATTGACCTTCTTTTACCCAAACTGCCTCAATATCTGTGTTGCTGATTGACTGACTGACTGACTGACTGAGTGAATGACTCACCGACTACCATAGAGACTGACGTATGGTTTGAGTGAGTTTAATCGTTAAACTCAGTCAGTAGTACTGACTGACTGACTGACTGACGGACCACTGACTTATTGACTAACTGAGTTAATGACTGATCAGCCAACCGACCTACCAGCTTAGTGACTGGCTGACTGATTTCGGAAAGACACCTGAAAGACAGATTCCTTCGGATAGTCCGCGATCGACCAACATGCATTCTTTTCCTTCACGCCATGGAACAGGGATAAGATCCTTCCTTATTTAGCCACCTGACTCTTGAAACTTAACCTCAAGACAAATAATTACACGCGATTTGTATTGTAGGAAGTCCATTCAACTGTTTATGTTTTTTGTTTTTTTGTTTTTTTTTTTTTTACTGTCCAGGGGCAAGAGAATGATATAATTCTCATATCTCTGGTCCGAAGCAACAACATACCCACGATTGGCTATCTATCATCAATGAATCGTTTGTGTGTGGCAATTTCACGGGCTCGCTGTGGTCTCTACTTGTTTGGTAATGACACACACTTTGCAAGAAAATCTAGAGGATGGAGGGTAGGCGTTTCCTGCTGCCGTTTGGAAAATGAAATTAATAAGATGTGAAGTTTAGAAATACTCAGTTTCGGATAACGAAGGTATTTTATGCGAGCAATTCCTGCGAGACAACTTTCTAAACATTCCACTAATTAAACTCTAGAGAAGAAGTCGAAATTTGGTATAAGAGAAGCAAGCCATCAGTTGGTTTTGAGTCGTTCGTAAATCTGTCTGTAGACCACGGAAACTTACTGAAACTAGAGTGGTTTCTGAGGGTATGAAAATGCCAGAAAGTTGTCAAGCTTAATGTCAATTTAAAATGATAAATTTTTTTTTTTTTTGCGTTAGGACTGTTTTGAGTAGTACTGCAGCTTTTGTTGCGAAATTATAAGTGAGTTTCAATTTGTTATTGTTAGTACCGTTGATATTGTAAGCACCATGTGGAAAATAGAGATTTGCAAAAATATTACAAGTCGTCATTGTGAAGAGTTCTTATCCTTCATAGGTTATCAGGGATTCCATGCGAAAGAAGCACTGTGTGGGTCGAGTATTTCCATTTTGCTTAGGTGACAAAGTCGTAAGTATGATGACATTTTGATTTTTCTAGATGTGTGTGTATTTGGTTGTTCCCTTCTTTTCCTTCTCCATGATTCTAATTTTTCAAAAAAACCGGCTTGAAGAATAACATCGTTTTTAATCATGTTAACAAAGAAGAAAATTCCCCAATTGAACCAAGACCGTGTAATGTTCCCACGTAAATTGTAGTTTTCTTTTTGAGAAAAGCTTATGTTTTGCTAAAAGTGCCAGTCTTAACTTTCACAATTTGCTATTTGCCAGGAGTGACGGTGTTAATACGTGCGTCCCTTACTATCCCGGTTTTTTCTTGATCTGATCTGTTTGCTTTGAAAATCAATTATAGCTACTGGTTTTTGTTGTATTTCAATGACATGTTGGCCCTTAAAATCACTGCTATTTATTTGTACTTTACTAATCTAGAGGGGAGATGGGTATCACGGAAGCCCTCCAACGAGAGATGAAAACAGAGGTAAGAAGGAACACAGCATTAAATTCACTATTTTTTGTCACCATAATTAAGAATTGTTTTATGCTAAGCAGATGTATATCGAGGTTCTAGATGCACACGAGAAGTGTGAAGAGCACGATAGAAGTATAGCAGTCGCTTCAGACGCAGCCGAGATTTCTCCAAACTTTCCAAGCGCGTCCATGCATCGATATACACACACCTTAAAGCATGAGCCTATTCTTTTATAATAGTGGACACAGTGGTCTCGTTTGAGCGAGATTGGTCCATCCTGTTTTTCTCAAACTGTCAATGAAAATTGTTTAATTGCTTAAAATTGTCACTGTAGCTGAAATAGTTCAATTGAACAAAACGCACAAACTAGTCGAATTGATTTCAACAAGTTGTCCTTTGAAAACACCCTTATTTCAATTAGGTAAGGAAATTGAAGGCTAGCAAACTCAAATTATACATATTTTAGTTGGAACCTGAGGCTAATTAAAAGGAAAGACTCGAGGAATTAAAAAAAGAATGTTCAACTTAGGGATAATTTCTTTGCCAGTTTCCTCCATTGCCTATCGGAGAGTTAGGGTAGACGAGAACTTTATTGCAAAAGGCAACTGCGCACGTCATGTTTTGTTTCCTTTAGATAGCTAGAGATATAGACCATGGTGGCTGGCTTAGGACACGCGCGCTTTACGTTATAAAAAATGCGTTGATCTTAACAGGGCAGACATTCCGGTACTTCTGCATTTGTTTTTCATTTTGTCGTCAGTTTTCTATGTGCTTCTATCTCTCTCCCTATATTTTTTAAATTGTCCAACGACCAAACTCTTATTCATGAATAGTAGATCCATGGAAGTATGGAAGTAGAGCAAAGGTGAGAATAACCTGGTCCAAATGATATCTTCTCTTTTGGAAGCCACCTTTTTTGCTTTTCATTCTGCAGGCAGCACAATTATCAACGCTCAAAACGTTCTTATCGGGGGAGGAGACGGCTCCGTAAATACAATGAATGTTGATCGAGGTTGGTGATAAACCTTTATGATTCATTCATAACTTCTACCTAGAGTGTCACTATATTGTTTCACAAACAGGTGGTAAGTATATACAACCTAAATCATTCAAACATTTGTATCCAACCAAGCACGATGTGAGAACCACTCGTCTTCAGTAAAAAATCCTTACATTGTTGAAGTATCTCTATGGACCAAAATAGGCGTGAGTTCGAACAAGTATCTTTTTCTTCATTCGTTGCTTTTACTTGAAGTCGCAATATTTTCCTTTTGTTACCAGGGAATTCCCCCTCGGGAACGACAACTCCACGGCGTTTAGAAATGCCACCTCCACCCTCTGGAAAAACCCCAGTTCAAGATCCAAAGTCGCCCTCACCTTCGCCGGTGTCTTCACCGCTACGTATGGAAAGAAGTGACACGGGTGCTGACTCAAGTAGTGTGCCGCTACATGGAAATGAAAGGGATGGGTCGGTAGTCGTTGATGCAAGGCCAAATGAAATAACAGGGGTGGAGTCTGAGAAAGATGCAAGAATGCCTATCCAAGAGGCACCTGCTGCAGACGATGCTTCCCTTGATTTGAATGATATGGAAAACATGAAAGAGAGACCGGAACAAGAGTCAGGTACTCCTGGGAAAAGTACAAGCGATTCTCCTGTTGCTGTGGATGAATCCGTACCGTCTGATAAGGATGCCAGGAGACCTATGCAGGAAGCGCCAGAGCCGCAAAAATCTCCTGAATCGGTCGAGTTTGAAAACATGAAGGAAAGGCCGGTGCAAGAATCAAAGAATGCCACCTCTGATTCGTCAATCAAAGGTGATAATGCCTTGACGTCAGGTAAAGAGGCGAGAAGACCTACACAAGAGTCAACGGAACAAGAGAAATCACCTCCTGGTTCGAGCAAGGAGGAAAGTATTAAAGAAATGCCGATAGAAGAGTTAGCGGACGAGAGGCATTCGGAAGAAACAGCTGTGCAGGAAAGTGAAGAAACTCCAAAGAAGGAGGACGAGTCAAGGAGTCACCCCGTAAGGCACGTTTACCAAGAAGGCGACTTGAAAGAACAGAAGAAAGAAACTCTCGCCCAAGAAACAATAAACCAGTCTGGTGAGGAAACTGATAGCCAGTGCCCTGACGACCCTGTCCAGGAAACCCAGGGGCTTGGTAAAGTGAAAGAAGATGAAGACTTAAGACCTTACAAAGATGTCGAGTGCTCTGAAGCAACCACCAGATGTGAGACAGAAAGCAAAGATAGCCGAGAGGAAGCTTTACCGACTCAAGAGACCATGGCCGCTGGGAAAGGACCTTTTGAAGAGACCGGGCTGGAGGTTGGCGTCAAGGGGCATCCCACAGACTGAAGAAAGCCATCTTGAATATTAATTGACAGAAACGGCTTTGGGAACAAAAGCAAGCGTATAGAGCACCCATAGAAGATGTGAAGCTGGATTCAACTTCCATTTTGTCTCAGCATTCCAAGAATATAATACGAATGAAACTTTAATTGTTTTTCTATTTTATGAATGAAGCAATTTCTACGGGGTTTTTATCCTCACAAGTCCAATGGATATCACTGATTTATCCAAAATAATTCGACGGAAGTGCATGGAGTCGATTCTAGCTAGTAGGTTCTAGTTTGATCAGAATTGAGCTGTACTCTTCGCAAACTACTTTTTTTCCATTGGAACACAGTGAGTTAGCCATCGAAGATGTTGCTTCTTTTTAAACCTCTTAAGAGGACCACAGCCTGTCATTTTATAGATTGTGCCCTTTCTTATGCACAATCCAAACTTTCCATCAAGTTTTTTCAATTTRGCCTGGTAGGTTTATTTAGAACGCGTGCGTTTGTATTTTTCCTTAAGACCTGACAAAACAGTGGTTGTATGAAAGTTCACGCAATCATTCCTTTACACTGAGTGATATTCGTGCAATTGTGAAAACATTTTCCAGTATCATTTGCAGTGTAAATCAATTGGATACAAATCGTTTGTAGAAATTTGGACTGTAGCTTATTGTCTGTGTACTTTCAATGTATTGATAACAGTCATTTTAACTTAGACGCTCTCGCTCTCCGAACTAGTGGATCTCTCTGTTACCACGAGCGCTATGGTGAGTTGATTTAGCAAGCCGCGCGCAATCGCTAGGCGTGAAAAAAATTGAAAAATGTTTTTTCGCCTTTGGGTTAAATGAAATACTGCATTAAGTCTACGATGCTATGAAATTGGAACAAAGGCTTACCAGTAATTGACCCAGTTCTTTCACTCGTATTAGAGCTGCGATTCACTGACAATTGTCTTCAGCTTCGAGGGGAAGAATGATCGAAATTTGACTTGACGACAAATTTCCTTCCAAGATATTCATGGATTTAAGAGGAAAAATTGTAGCGAGGTGCAAGCTGCTGTTGCAAGAGGTGAATGCCAAGCCCATGTGCAAGAATTTTCGGCATATATTTTTCTGCATTTTTCAAGATAATCTTGGATTGAGTTGATTTTTTTTGTTGGTTTTAGAAGGGACAGTTATATGATGAATTGAGGTTCGCTGAATTCTTTACAGAGGCCACAACATGGGCTCAATTACCAGCCGTCGCTCATTAGGGAGCTTTAGCAACGAGGACGGCAGAAAACAATAGGCTTAATGAGCAAAAACAATCGCCCTGCTCGTGCGTTTAACATTTTGGTACATTTCTTTGCCGTTCTCGGCAAAACAACAACGTGAAATAACCAAACTTTAGGTTTTCCCGAGAACGTGAGCGCACGAATGTTAATTTTTCTTTCTTTCTCCTTACTTGTTCGTAGTGATATAGTCCCTGAATAGTTCGCCAGCATTTTCCAAGTGAAACACATCGGAATAACCTCGAAAGAGTTACAAAAACGAAAAGTTAGATTTCGACACGACGTTTTCGTTGCCGACGCCGTCGTCGTTGCTAAAGCTCCCTATTAACGTTTCTCCCCGGATACTAGACTCGAAAAACGGTAGAAAGCTTACATACAGTTGAGATCGGTAATCTATAGAGTTTATTAATGAAAGCTATCTCTATTATTACTATGTAACATAAATAGAGAGGAAATAAACTTTCGGAGATCAATTGAATTTAAGTTACTTAATAGTTCGATGTGTTGATTCTTAAACCAATTCAAACTGCATCGAAGCAAGTGGTGTTACCAGAATAAACCACGTGGTGATTGGTGTGGACGAAATTAGGTGTAAGTTAACATCTGACACAATGTCCTCTACTAAACTAAAAAAATATTTCAAAGTTATTTGAACATCGCATTAGTCTCAAAGAGCACTTCTGCTCCGAAAATGGGCCGTTCCCTTTTTTTTACGTCGACCAATTTGGCCAACGGCGTGCCTGATTGAATCATTGTGAACTCGATGCTGATTGGGCAGCTCATAGAAAGAATACGTGAACGCACTTGACACCGGAAGTCTGTGAATAACGTTTAAATCCTCAATTGAAACGATTGGTTTGTACTTTCCTTTGAATGTCCGTTTAAATACCTTTTCACCGGGCTTTTTAGCGGGCGCCTTATGTGGACTGGTCTGCGTTTCTTGCGCTTGCACAAGAGGTCTTGAATCACACCCTAGGATGACTAAGGTTTCAAGTTCACGACCTTCCTCTTTTGCCTGGGCAGAAGTTTTCTGGTGGTCTTGAGGTGAATAATGATCTAGTCCCTGCGACATGCATTCCACTTGGATTGTTTCTTTCTTTCTCTGGTTCGGCTCCTTTGCCGAAGCAGAGCGCAAGGGTCGCCTTATGACAGCTGACGGGACCCTCTGTTGCTGAGTTCCTGAATTTGTGCTACATAGTGACGGACTACTGGCATCAATCAGTGACAGATGTGTCTGGCTTAGCTTCGCTTTTGAACCATATGTCGTCACATTAGCCTCAACGGGTATGTCGTAAATCCCTCTGCTATTGTAGCAGTTTCCGGGCCTCTCTACGCCATCCCCCTTTTCTTTTTTTCTACTAAAACGGCGCGGTCTGTCTGATCTGGAGCCTGATTGGTCGTTTTGGCTGTCGTAAACACTTACCTCGTTAGTGCTCCAAGAGGCCTGGTCATCTAAATCTACCGCATACAAACAAAGAAACAAAGTTGGCACATTTCAAACCTGGTTAAGTTAAGAAAAGGTCCATAAAAAGAGGATCCAAGTCTGGAAAAGCAAAACAACGAAAAGAAAAGACAAAAAAAAAATTAAACATCGAATTAGATAAAGTCCGCGCTTACTAGAGAAAGATGCATCCTTGTGAGCAGGTGCACTTCTAACTGTCCTGCCGTATTTTTGCAGCATAGAGGTGCGTGACTCAGTCCCGTGACCACTACTTGACACTCCACGTGACATTTCAGACATGTGCGATGTGTGTGAATCTCGTCTAGCAGCATGACTGGAACCCACCCTAAAACCCTTCCCTTGCCCCCAGGCCTCCTCATCAGAATCGATATCGTCGAAGGCATAAAATGACAAGCTGTTTCCAAACACATTCATGGAATGTTTCCCAATTCTCTGGAAAGGCGTGTCCGGTTGATCTGTTCTGTTCTTTCCGCCAGCATTCTTTTTCTGAGCGTGCCGCGGATTCTGTAACTAAAAGAAGAAACGCCTTAGGTTATTGTCAATACCTAAGACTTTCTTTGATTACTGTTTGTCATTTCTTTTTCCAAGTAAAGTCTATCTAAGGATCATTCCGAATGATTTGCCGTAAATAATACGACCATTGATAAAGATTTGTGGACTGGGCCTGAAACAGTTACACCTCAAGCAAGTATTTATAAACTGGTTTAATTACATAGGAGCTATAAACTTGGTGACACTTAATCAACAAATATAAAGTCAAAGAACAAATCTGATTCTGGGTCATTTACCTCGTTGTAGTCCAGGACACCAATAGGTGATCTCGATGCTAAGACTTCCTCCTCATCTGAATGTGAAGTTAAACCACTGAACACTCGAGATGATCTTCTTTCACTGGCTGATATATCCCGAAGACGTCCTCCAACCAGTAGTGATCTTCTACCAGCTACAAATAAGCACAAGGGATTCATTTCAAAGGAATCATGTCTCAATTCGCGTAGCTTGATAAATCGAGCTAAACATTTTAAAACTCGCCTTTGTTAGTTCTTGATGGTATTCTACATTCTTAACGAACCTTGTTTTCTATTGGCTGTTACTCACCTCTTTGGTTTTTGTCTACCCTGGCAAAATGATCATTTCAAAGAAATTACTAAGACACCAAACTTGACACGACGCTCTGGAGTCGAAGGTGTGGTAGAAGGGTAAGGTTTTATCCATTAGATCACTCCTGGACCAAATTGCAACAATTTTAATCATTTGCACATGCAGTTATTTGACCGATGTACAAAGACAAGTCGTATATTGAGTTTGAGGTTGGGAGGGGGGGGGGGAATCTTCCACCTTTTCTAGCCAGAACTCTATTTGGATCTCAGAGTTCATTTGTATTTTCTCTCATTCCCACTTCCACTGGTCTCAGTCCTCCTATGACAACCATCGAATACAAACTGTACTTACGAGTTTCTTGCTGACTCATGTTCCCCAGGCCCTCTCGGGTGCCCTGCGTTCTTCCTTGCTTTCCACTGGATTCTAGTCTCTTTTTGTTTATTTTCATTGGAGCTCTTATACCATTTCCAACTAAGTCCAAATCATATTCTGCATCCTCGTCATCTGATCCTTGGATATAAACGTTTTCAGAGATATTTTCACTTTGAGTGTAGTTCCTTTGAGCCGAATCGGACCCGTTCATTGACGTCGCCATCTGTTTATTCTTTTTGCGTTTAACTCTATGTCTTTGTAATCGCAGTATCGACAGCAACTTCTCTCTGATGATCTCAGGCAAATCTTTTACCACATTGTCATCTAACATTGATAAATCTAGCCTCGAATTTAACGATGTTTTGTCGTTTGATTCAACTTCGTTATTCATTCTGTCTTTGTTTAAGTTGACTCGTGCAAAATCGTCGTATTGCTCTTGACTAAAACCAAGTGCATCTGCGACTTTTTTCACAGAATCCTCGTCTAATGTCTGTGCATCTGCTTTGAGGACTCTGAACGCTTCTGTCTTTGTCCCAGAGTCAATAACATCAAGACTCAGCTCTTCAAGCGCTTCCTCATTGGACAGCAGATAGTCACGTGATTTTCTGTCCTTACCAAGGGTTGTATCGGTGTCTTCTCCGTTGATTTGGCTTAGAACTGTCCCACCTCCTGATACTATGAATCTTTCTTTTATGTCTCTGAAAATCAGATAAAACGAAATCAAAATTTATACCACTTCTTCGCATGTGTTACAACAGATTTTACAAGGTGTATTCACATAATGAATCTTTGCCGTAAAGAAGAGTGTATTCAACTGCCTTTCGGCTGGCAATTGAATGAATCATACACTTATGAATACGGAAGAACAGTCACAAACCCAACTCTTCTCTTGGTGTTCCGGTCATTGAACCTCCTCTTTCTATTACTGGCCAGGTGTATCGCAGGCCCGCGAGTTGGTTGCTGCGGTAATTGACAGTTTGCTGGCACAGATCCACATTCTGCCCAATGGTCTTCACATCTTGGACAGTGGAACAATGGTGAACAAACCACTCCCGGTATGTAGTCATTGGTTTTTATCTAATAAAAAAATCAAAATATTTGTGGCTGAGGAGAATCTTACCTTGTGGATATTTCGGTTGGTATGTTACAATAAGTGACCAGAAATGAACCGCAATAAAAGCTTGAAAAGCGCCAAATACAGCAAAGTTGTCTTCACTCAACGATTTCAACTCATTTGCAAGGCAAGTAAAAGCAAAAAGATGCCCAGGATGCAAAGTCATGATGTTACAGTCTTTGCAGATAACTCTGGAACAGTTTTTTTTTTTTTTATCCTGAAAAGTTACGCGCAGCGATCGGGTGCTTTTTAAAGCGCGATGGAGGAAACCTGGAGGGTGTGCAATGAATAGGGCAATTTCGGAAATTAATCGTACACCATAACCCCTATAGCTCCAGCTCTTTCGTAAGAAAAACGGACATGTCAATTCGCACATGTTTCATTTTGCGCCAGTTTGTTACTCCTCACTAATAGTTGCGGAAGTACAAAAGCTACAGACACTTTGCCAACTTTTTGTCAGTGTTGTCTAAGTTGAAAAGGGATTCAAACAAAACTTATACGGTAAAACAGTTAAACGATGATATAATAAGAGAAGAATAACCTCAACAAAAATTCCCATCTTTTTGATGAACAAGACACGATTCAGATCATCTTCTCTAAACTCCTGTGCGAAAAGCTCATCATCTTCAAACAGAGAGTCAATAATTGGTTCAAGATTGGAAATCATAACCTGTTGAAGAATAAGGAGATGGAATAATGAGGTAGCCTCCTTCAGATCTAACTTAACGAGAATTCTAAACGTCAAGTTGAATTTTTTGCTCTCTTATTCCGAACACTGACAACAGTTTTAACACGTCTGGTTTGATGATAGAAAGGAAATTCAAGATTTCCTGTTTAGGTTCCAACAATTTCCAGAACTGCGGAGCTGAAGTATTGCGTCTTCTTTTAATTACTATTATGCACCCTTACTCCAAAACCACAGGAACCCCAGCCAACATTGGCGTAGAATTAAGCAATGGAAATGGGACAGAACTGCATGCAAGCTTTAGGAATCCTCATGTAAAGCAATATACGTTGGACTTGTACTAAACTGTTTACCTCTTCCACAGTGGTTTCAGGGATAGGTTCAACCATTTCTGCCGTGATTTCAGTTGGAGATTTCTTATGCGCCTCACCCTTGATCAGCAGATCCAGCGGTTCAGTGTTATCTGGACCAGGCGAGGAGGAGAAACGACGCCCGCCAAGCACACTGGGTACATCCGGAAGCTAGAGTGATATAAAAAAAATTCCACTTTTGATGCAACTTATATCAGAGAAACATAAATCTAGATAGCATTTCTAATCTTTGTACGCAGTGATGTTTACCATTTGTTAAAAAAAAGATCGCGTAGCAGTGTAAATAATGTCACACTCAATAGTCACGCCAACGTTGATCAGAAGCTGCTACTTACAGTGACCTCTGGGGCGTTTCCAGTCTCCAGAGATGGTGTAAGCGCTCTGCCCACCGTACCAGGGCTCTTCGAACCGCTCTCCACCTCCACATTGGGAAATAAAACATTTTTGTCTTTCTCCAGACCAACGCAGTGAAAATCAAGTTTTTCATTAATTTGCTCTTGAACCATAGTTTTTGGGAATACTTTTCCAACCTGTGAGATCTACAAATAAAAGAGTTATGGCATCCATATCTAATAATAAAACCACTGAGAAGAGAGTGAGAAGATAAAAAAGAATCGAGTGGACCGAACAGCCTCTAAAAAAGATAATGCAACAACAAGAGCGCCAGGTAAAATCTCCTTTCGAGTAATTATTCACTGAATAATCTCAAGCAGTTATTCACGAGACGCGCACCAGAAAGATCAAGTTATGAAAAGTTGATGTAGTGCGCACGACAGACGTGAAAATTTAAGCTTCTTTTCCCTTCATTATACCAACCATGTTTCCTCTCACTGACTTTCTTCGCTGTATCGCCTTCAAGACATTTACATCAATCGTGCATCTTGAAGTGATGACCTGCATGCCGTATCTTTCTTCCCAAACCCTTTCGCGAAACCTTTTTCCTAATAGGGAACAAAATCTTACCTTCTTTCTCCTATCTGACGCGAGACGAAGCAAAATATCCCCAGCTCTCTTCTGATCTCTGAGGTGCCGTAGCGACGTGATCATGGCTAGATTTATTTAGTTCTTCACCTAGATACAGCTGAAATGGCTACATCCTTCAACGCGATTTGTGTTTCAAGCTCTTCTATTACGTTTCACTTCGTTCGCTGCACGCGCCCCGAATTAGCGCGCGCGAGAAATCATCCAATCAAAATTCATCATGACAAACGTATAACTTGGCTTCTTGGAAAAAGGCTGAAGCAAGAATGCCCCTCCTTTTACTTCCAGCACTCTCGACAGTAAAGAAGTTATTTTACCCTCTTTAAAAGTCTTCAGAAGTTATGGTAATTTCATATTTATTTTCCGTTATTAACAGTGCAGTTGTGTAGTTAACGTAAGGATTTCCCTATATTCTGGAGATGACTCAAATTACCTCTTACAGCTATTATAGTTTCTTTTTCATATTTTGAATTTCAAAGCCAACTTAACGGTTGCGAATAACTTATTCCCAAAGTTCTTTTTCACAAAAATAAAACGAAGTTCAATAGGTAATTACGTCCGGGAGCTTTTCTTTGACCAAACACAACTATTCTCCTGTTTCCGATTTCATGGCGATAACAAAATTCATGTCCAGAGTCTTTTTCAATTGTTTTTCAGTTCTTTAGGTCTCCTTCTCACGTGATCAAAATAATCCTAGTTTTCAGTCCTGTGCTCCTAAATTGTATGAAAGGTACTGGTAACTACAGGCCAGCCAGGTTGGCTCTTTGTGAAATCATCAGGTTCGACCGAACACGTTACCAGACCTCCTTCAGTTCAGTAATACAAGGAATCAACAAATCGTGTCCCTTGGAATAGCTTTGTTTTGAAGTACACTTTATACTGTGTACCATGTGTTGGTGGTTACAAGTTTTAGTAGGACAGCCATTATTGTCACGTGTTTCTCGCTGTAAACACCAGAGTTGTGACTGTGTTTCCTGTCTGACCGCCAAATGACAAGGAGGGTGCAGGAAGATCTTCTAAAAATTCAAATTCTATTGAAAGGCAACAAAAAAAAAGAATGGCAGGGTGAGTTAACAAGGAGCAAAAAAGTAACCTTCAGGTTAGAGAACAGTTGTGAAGAAAGTTCTCTAAAATCAAAAAGAGCCCAAGAATCTCTTTATACTTACTGTCTTTAAACTGCACAAGTAGTTCAGTCTTTGTCCAATTACAGGAGCAGATGATGAAGCGTCCACCAGCTGCAAGCAGACTAAACACATTGTCGATGTACTTTACCCGGCAGCCCTTGGTATCTTCTGGATTGAGACTGATTGCATCATAAGTTCCTTTGTCTAGACACACATCAAATTTCCTGTCAGTGCACAGGGCACTAATCTCTGATGTGCTTAAAATGTCACAGACCTGTCATTTGCACAAACATTATTTTGTGAGATTGGTTTTTATTCATGGATGGGTAAGGAGGATAGTTTTGGGAGATGGTCAATGCATTACAAGACCAAAAAATTACTGCTAAGGAGACTACAACTTTGGGGAATCATCCTACTGAAGTTACAGATGAAAACTTCTGGAAAGAGAGGGATGGATAATGTATACTCCACTTAAGTGACAAACAGTAATAGTCCCATGACATACAAAATAACAGAACTTAAGGAAAGTCCTGGCTTGTAATACCGGGTCTATCCCAGTATGACTAGTTGAACCTACATTGCACCTAATTACTAGAACTTCATAAACACAAACTGTACAAGATTGGAGCAAGGAGTGCACCAAAATTATATAACCAATCAAAAAGAGAGCTTTATTCACCCCCAAACCCTCCTCAGACCAAAAAAAAGAGCATGGATGTACATGTATACAAGCGTACAGCACAGAAGCTGGACACAAAAGGTTTACTCCTTATGAATTTGACAGATATTTATATAAAACTCTCTATTATACAGTTCTAATTGACCACTTTCAAAAATGGCTGCGGAATTAATATTCTTTTGTTTAAATTTAAATTAGCCTTTCTGGCCTCCCTTGAGATAAAGTATTCTTTTGAATTTTGTACTAGAGAACGAGGCCAGAAAGACTAATTTAAATTTAAACAAAATAATATTAATTCGGCAGCCATTAATGAAAGTGGTCTATGCTGTAACACTTTTGGGAATTAATATTATCAAACTTGAAAAACAAACCTGAAATCTAATGCTGACTTGTTCTGCTACTGCAATGGATCTGGCTAAGTTGATTGCTCCCTCTGAATAATCCACACCAATTAAGTTTGTGTAGCCACACTGAGCCTGAAAAAAAAAATACAGATACAAGACTCCATGCACTGGTACATACCTGAACAGCACATCAGTATAAACCTCCACTTCAAGCACTCTCCTACACTTTATTTACTGCCACCTGCTTCAATGCATTTCAATTCAAGGTACCATTTTTGCGTAAAAGTCTTTTCATTTTTTCCATTTTCAAACACTGAACCTAGAAAATGGTCGCAGACTCCTCCTCATTTTACAGAACATGTTGTTGGCCCTGAGCCAGACCCCCTTAACATAGAGTGCAGGGGTTTCATTAAGGGCTGGGCACCGGCCAAATTGACCGGCTGTAAGGACGGTTTTGCCCACCTGGTTTAACAATCTGGAGGAAGGTTTATCTTATAAAGAAGTTTAGTTCAAAAAGTTTTGCCCCACCTGTGAAAACCAGTTGCCCTCCTGTTGAAAAAATATAATGAAACCCCTGAGAGTGGGAGGATAAGTTTTACTTTGACACCTACCCTACCAGTAGATAAATTCAACTAGCCCTATCAGGAGTAGTACATTCTACCTGGCATGACTATGCAAAACCAAACCCACCCCTCCGCTGTGAGGCAGTGATCATGAAGGTGCTTCCCCTCATAACATAGGCCACAGTACACTTTCCATGAAGGAGTGAGAGAACATACATGTATGTGCAGGGTCCACGGAGCAAGGTGTAAAGTGGGAGGGCTGACAATTTAAAATAATTTTTTCATATTGAAAATCGAAAAAAGGAATAAAATCATAGTAATTATTTTTCTTTTTAGTGCAAAAAGTGGGGGTGGGGGCACAAAAAAAGTGGTGGGGCCTCAGCCCTACCAGCCCCCCCTTCCCTCCGTGGCCCCTGATGTGGTAAAACCTAACTTACAAGATTCACAAGAAGAATGCCATTTCCACATCCTAAGTCTAAAAACAGTGATATCTTTCTTATGTCTGGACAATTTTTGATCCATTTTATTATTCTGTTCATGCTGCTTTCCCCAAACCTAAAATCGACAACAAAATGATGGATATTTACAGACAAGAGGTCTTGACTTTCTTTAAATGTGATATAATGATGCCATGTAGGCAACAAATATAAGCATTTTAGGACAAGACTATTTCCAAGGATTGCAATGTTGAAATATCAGAAACTAAAACAGCAGAATATACATGTAAAGTCATGGGGAAATAGTGTACACATCACTATGACAAGATTGATAACAGTCCAAAACACAACTCTAACAGGAAATACTTTACCAGACTTCTCCAACATCACCAGTATCATGAAAATTACCCAATTCTGTAGAGTAGGCTTCATCCCAGCTAAAAGATGAGAAATAAACGTAGTAAAGTTAGAAAATGACTGCATTACCTTGCATGTTCTCCAGCTCAACTGTTAATTAAGAGACAGAGAGATCATACATCACAGGCATATAAGAAGGATTAAGAGTGTGTTGTTCAGTTCAAGTAACACTCCTGAGGGGAGATAAGATGCAAGATGCATACCTCAGATCAGGGACAGTGGAACTTCGTAGAAGACTTAGGCAAGATTTCCATATAACCCCATACTTCATTATGCATACAATTCTTGGATAAAAGAAAACAGGCAAAACAACAGATTACCTTTGGGACTTCGGCTTTGTTTTTGACTGGTATGAGGTTGTACGGAAATCTTTCCGAGACTTGTTCTCTAACACAGAGCTTGGTTTATATTAAAAAAATTCAGATTTTAAAAAGAGTCTCCACAAGGCTGACTCCTGCTTCTGATTGGATGTTCCTAACTTGTTTCAGATTATAACTATCCAACTGGATACAAATATTTGAACTACAAAAAATTTCAAACATAAAATTTTTAGGTGGAGTAACTGAGAATTACGATATTTACAAACACCTGAAAAACAAAGACAATTTTTTTTTTTATCGATGGAAAGTTGTACCCAGTCGTAAGCTTACCTTCAGTGAGGATTTCAAAATAGGGAAATTTGTTGAAATTGTGTGACAAATTTTTTAAGTGCGTTTTCATTTTGTAATAACTTACAATTCTTTGGTTCCAAGCTTTGATGCCGGAAGTTGCCCTGAGTCTCCTTCACACATTTCGTTCCCTGAAACGTTCGTCAACCCGTCCGCCATGATTGATCCATAAGCGCCTGGCTATAACTTGTCAGCGGCTTTCGAAGGACAAACCGCGAGAAACTGGGTCACATTAGTTGTAATAAATGGCGGACGAAGAGGTAAACAACAGCGATTGTGACAATTTAACAAAAGTGAACAAGAAAATATCAAAACGGAGTCTCAAAAGACTACAAGTAAGTACATATATGTTATGTTATATACGTGTCTTTCCGGTATTCTTATGTTGTTGTAATACAAATGGAATATATGATGATTAAGTAGCCTTCAGCTGTGATGACTTTCAAACAATCTTCTTTCTGTAGCTTACAGCTGCCAAGAAGCTGCGATGCGATTTATGTCCCAACAAAAGGTTCACTTCTCTTAAGATGTATGATGACCACATGGCGTCCAAGAAGCACGGAAAGATTAAATTACGCAAAGACTCTGAAGGAGCGTGGGTTTGCCAGGCTTGTGATCTTGTTCTTAGCTCACAATCTGAATGGGTGAGTTTACAGTGAAAGTAAGCTCTAGCTGTCCGTGATGAGACTGTTAGCAGAGTCCTCTCACAATCATGAATACGAAAACCCTGTGGCGGCCACAATGCTAGGCAACTATGAGTCAATCTGAATGGGTGATTTGAGAGTGAAAATAAACATTAGTTGTCCATGTTGAATGAATTGTAAACCCTGTGGCGCTATGGTATTAGGCAACTAGGAGTATT